AAATCGTTCAAATTATAATGGCATATTGTTATTCTAAACTGTTTCCCAAAATTGATCGCCCTGAAGATCATAAAAAACAGTTTATTAAAATAAAGTATGTCAATAAAGGTTTTGATTTTGTAAATATTGCCGGTATTTTTAACGACCATTCTGTTAAAGAACAAATTCCGGGATATTTTGATAATACTGAGCTCCCTCTTATTTGTTATATTTACAAGAAATCTACCCGGAAATTTGTGTTTAATTATAGCCAATTGTGTAAAGATGTTAATATCAGTGAAAATACACCTACTTCATGTAATTGCAGTAATTCCGAATACATTTATGGACCCATTTCCCATGTTATAACAGGAGATCTTAACATCGTTCAAGACCGAGAGTTAAAATCATTCCTCAGTAAAGGACCTAAATATCGTCCCCCGTCAATTATTAATTGGAATGAGTGTCGTAATATCATCCACGACTCACTCCATACTTACTGTTTGAAATGGATAAAACGGGAAAAAGCTGACAAAAAATCTTTGGACTCTTTTTTTAAATCAGTAATGCACATAGTTGATATACGTATTCAACATTTTAAAGAACATTTTACTCTTAACAGTAACCACAATAAACCTATTTCTCGTATCAAACATAAACTAAAAGAACTAGCCAAGGAATTTGTTTTTGTCCCGGCCGATAAAGCTGCTAATAACATTATTATTGTTTGACGTAAATTTTACATTGAGGTTCTGAAAAGAGAAATCACCAATTCACCAACATTCCAACTGACTCCATTTTCAGAAAACGACATCTGTAACAAACATAAACTTTTATCTACCGCTTTACAAGCAGAACCAAATACAATGAAAGTCCCAACTATGTATTGGCTTCCGAAGCTACACAAAACACCTTACAAATATAGATTCATTTCGTCTTCAAGCCATTGTTCCACTACTAAATTGTCTATTCTTCTTACCAGTACACTTGGTACAATCAAAAACCTGATAATAAATTGTTCAAATAAGGCCTTCGAAAATAGTGGAATTAATTACTTTTGGAGTGTCAAGAACTCGTTGGAAGTACTTGATAAATTGCATGCATATATTGGTGATTTTGAATTTATTCAAAGTTTTGATTTTTCTACCCTATATACCACATTGCCTCACATTCTCATTAAGAAAAAAATCACACACCTCATTAAATGGGCATTTAAAAAGTCAGAATGTGAATATATATGTTCAAACTCTTTTAGGTCATTTTTTAGTAGCAATAAACAAAAAAACTATGTCAATTGGACATGCTTTGATACTATATATGCCCTTGAATTTTTACTAGATAACATTTTTGTTCGCTTTGGAGATTCCGTATATCGTCAGGTTATCGGAATTCCAATGGGGACTAACTGTTCACCACTTATTGCGGACCTTTTTTTGTATTGCTATGAGTTACAATTTATGACAAAAATCAGCAAAGACCTACCGAAAAAACATCTGATACACAAATTTAATAATACTTTTAGATATTTGGATGATATTTTGGCTCTCAATAATGACGACATCAGTATGTATACTAAAGAAATTTATCCTGTTGAACTTACTTTAAATAAAGCTAATACTAACAATGACCACTGCCCTTTCCTCGATCTTGATATCTATATCATTAACGGAAAGCTTAATACTGAAATATATGATAAAAGAGATGATTTTTCATTTCCTTTCGTTAATTATCCATTTTTAGATGGTGACGTTCCCTTGTCACCATCTTACGGTGTTTATATATCTCAACTTGTACGATTCGCTCGTGTATGTAACAATGTTTTAGATTTTAACGAGAGAAATTTATGTATTACTGAAAAATTATTACACCAGGGTTTTCGATATCACAAACTAGTCAAAACATTCACTAAATTTTATCATCGGTATAAGGACATCATTCGTAAATATAGCTCAACATGCAGACTTCTTATACGTTCAGGTATTTCACATCCAATTTTTTATGGAAATATTCTTTATAAAGCACAAAAATGTCAGTATTCACCTCTGAAGCTAACAAAACCTTTAAATAGACTTATTAAGAAGGGATATAGTTACGATACTGTTGTCAGGTCATTAAAGATTGCATATTTTGGCGTTAATATTGATTCACTTATAGGGTCTTTGCATCGGCACTAAACACATTTATTTAAAAACCAGTAGTTGGCATGACACGGGTTATGTTCTTCTCATATATGTTATGATGGTATGATACTAAACCCCTAACGGGAAGGATTGTGCCTGATATTCATATGATGAAGACATTATTTTTCAATCAGTTTAATTGTAGTCTGGAGCTGGCATGTCAGTTAACTGCTAGTAGTCTGTTGTTATTTATGTATTATTGTCATTTTGTTTATTTTCTTTGGTTACATCTTCTGACATCAGACTCGGACTTCTCTTGAACTGAATTTTAATGTGCGTATTGTTATGCGTTTACTTTTCTACATTGGCTAGAGGTATAGGGGTAGGGTTGAGATCTCATAAACATGTTTAACCCCGCCGCATTTTTGCGCCTGTCCCAAGTCAGGAGCCTCTAGCCTTTGTCAGTCTTGTATTATTTTTAATTTTAGTTTCTTGTGTACAATTTAGAGTTTAGTATGGCGTTCATTATCACTGAACTAGTATATATATTTGTTTAGGGGCCAGCTGAAGGACGCCTCCGGGTGCGGGAATTTCTCGCTGCATTGAAGACCTGTTGGTGACCTTCTGCTGTTGTCTGTTCTATGGTCGGGTTGTTGTCTCTTTGACACATTCCCCATTTCCATTCTCAATTTTAGTCATAATTAACGATATAGCGTGTTCGTCTGATCAAGCAGATCCGAATATAACCTCCTTCGTTTAATGAATAATTTGTTAGTTTAACTATTTCATGTTAAATTTTGCTTTCACAGTCCTTTTATCGAGATCCTCAGAACGGAGTCTTTTCCCTGTCGGGTCGCATTTTGTATCGTAATAAAAATGACAATGAAACTGAAACCCAAATAAAAGTATCCGAAAATTAAAAAAGAAAAACTATGAAGACTTCTGCAGAAAAAAATCCAATCTTTTTCTCTAAAAATCATCAATAATTAAAACAATCAAAATCTGGAGTTATATGATACTGCGAAGCACTCCATACCTTTTTGGAAAAGTTAAACTTGTGTTAACTTATAATTTATGCATTTTAAGACAAGAACAAATTAACGATAAATATCTCCAAGTAATACATCGGATTTAGGGATTGGAAATATATACTGCCATTGGAAATTAAGGTATGTTACATAGAGACAAAAGTCTTGCAATAGATCATAACCCCTCAAAAAGTTGCCTAAGGGTGTTTAGGTGTTTAACATACAGTATTTACTATATGTAAATTCAAAAGAGGCATCGGTTTTAACGTTTCATGTCCGACCGATACATCCCGTAAAGCCAAATGAACGCACCTCGGCTTAGAATAGGTTTTATTGGTCGACTGTTGGCATAATTCCAGGAGATGACTACATTTCTTTATACCAGTAGACCCTTGGCATTACAGATGAAGTATATAAAAAATGATAGACATCCTAAAGCATTATAAACAAAATGATAACAGTTGAAAGTAAATCAGACAAAATACTAGATATATACCAGATGAAATTCTTCAATCAGAAGGGACATCACTTATGTTCGTATGTTACCATGGTACCTGAATAAAAGGAGATATTGGATTAAGGATGTTCGCTCCTCTGTTTCAAAATAACAAGCTTTATTAAAAGACTGTTTTAAATTGATAGTATATAAATAACAGAACTTGAAAAGCAGAAAAAAATTATAGGTCCATGTCTTTGTTTTTGAGATATTATCAATCGAAAATTTGGCGGAAAATTATTCCCTCTAGATTTTTCATACATTTAACATTGGCACCTTTTTTCTTTCAAATACTATGAAAAAATAACAAAGACTTTATAAGATTTTGAAAAATGGCCTTTTTAAACTATATGAAATAAAATTATGAAAAGAAAAGTAAAAGATTAGTGACAATTTTTAATGGCATTACATGGATAAAACCAGAGGATTCCGAATATCTGACAAAAAGTCAAAAAACAAGAGTAGCGAACATCCTTAAAGAGATGAACCCAATACATATAGGGGACAACATACCGTCTTCAACAATAGGGGAACGTCTACATAATATGGCAAGCTCTAAATCGCCCCTTGATTAAAACAAAGACGTTTTGTCTTTTCTTGTATGTCATAAAATAAACTTGTATAAACACAAACCATACTGCAATCTTCAGATGACTTTAATTAATTTCCTATGAACTGAAAAATAAAAGCAAGTTGATATTTTAAAACATAAGGTTTATGAAGACTAAAATGGTTATCATTAAAAAGAAAAAAAAATAATTATAAAAATACTCTTATGACTTTATTTTTGAAGAATTTAAACGGTCATTGGATAAATTTTTCATGCGTTTCTGTTATTTGTTTAAAATTACTTAAACCTGTACATCACAAGTATGTATACCAAATTCGAATTGATTTTTTTTTTTGCAGTAAAGTGTATTTATTGACTAAAATAATAAAGAAGAAATAGCTACATGGATCACTTGTAAGTTGTCGTTTTAGACAGCTACTGTACTTGTTTTAACATTTTATTAATAAATTATTGATACATTATTTCATAATTACTTTCAAAGAAGCTCCTCAAAAAAGAAAGAATAGAAATGAATAGTTAGCCCTGGTCAATAGAGCCAAAAATCTTTATAAACTCAGAGCTTAAAATATTATATATTGTATTATATTTAAGTTTAAGCCGATCAATGAACATACAAGTTTACCATAACTATATAGTGATTTGAAATATGTTCATTGATTAAAATTAAAAGACTTTTATAATTGTTCTGCTTTCACATTTTTATTTAAAGTTCAAAATTTAGAATGCGATTCCCCAGTTGTAACCACAACATTGCATTGTTGTTGAATGTGGAACTCCGAGTTTAAAAAAAGGACGTTCATGTATATCATGATTTTAAACTTTCATAACCTTTTAAATGTACGTATAATCTGTATGCGTCATGAATTGTTTAAGGTATAAATATAATTATATTTAATATATATCTTAGTTTGAACAGGATCACTAACGTCTATCAATGTGAGTTTCCTAATTAAGATCATTTTTAAGTATTTGAAAACAGGAAACATATAATATATATCACTTGTTTGGTCTTTTGAAAAATGTTGTTTGTGCTGTATTTAGACCCTTCTACCAAGAAATTTGTTTTGCATGCACACGTATAAAAATTGCGGTTTTTATCAAACGCAATCATAGGTTTGAACGTTGTTTTCAATTTAGACTTATATATTATATAAGTACCTCTGAACCAGTGACAACTCTACAACAGATTTATCCATCGGATCACCAGCAGTGATGGTGATATATGGCTGTGTACATTCTGTATATACAACTCGTTTAAACATCAGCCCAAGCAAATTTACAGATCTAACATTGTTGGGCTGATGTTTATATATATATATTTAAGAACATCAGTTGTTCGACCTGCTAGTCAAATGCGTTTTGTTAAAATATACTTTTTCACTCATTTGGTTTTTTGGAAAATGTTGTTTATGCTGTATTTAGACCTTCCTACCAAGAAATTAGTTTTGCATGCACACGTATAAAAATTGCGGTTTTTATCCAACGCAATCATAGGTTTGAACGTTGTTTTCAATTTAGACTTGTTTATAATTTTTCGTTTGGGCTTGTATTATATTTGCCTTCGGGTATATAAGATCTGTTCATCCTATTTTGACTCCTCAAAATTCAAGAGTCTATCCTAAATTGAGGTAAATTGTATGGCTTTCCAAATACCGTTTCGATTCCTAACATCACTGAAGAGACATTAATTGTCGAAATCCGGATATGGTGTACAAAAACCTTTGCACATTTTGTTTGCGGTATACCATCTTTTCCGCAAGTTTATTGTTTTCTGTTTAGTATTAAATTTATAATTCAGATCCATTTATTACATCGGTGATCCGTTTATTAGGCAATCGCCAATGGCAGTCAGCAGGGTTTAAGAACATCAGTTGTTCGACCTGCTAGTCAAATGCGTTTTGTTAAAATATACTTTTTCACTCGTTTGGTCTTTTGGAAAATGTTGTTTGTGCTGTATTTATCCTCTACCAAGAAATTAGTTTTGCATGCACACGTATAAAAATTGCGGTTTTTACCCAACGCAATCATAGGTTTGAACGTTGTTTTCAATTTAGACTTATATATATATACATACTTATAAATAACCAGTCTAAAAGGGTACAACATTACCAAAAAATGACAATAAACGAACAAATGTAACTATAAATATTTCGGATAACAGATATCCTTCATCAGTATGAGGACGATGTAAAATGAATCAGATCAATCTATTCTGATTATTAAACTATAGCAATCTTGAATTCTATACAATAAAAAAAGTGAAACAGTTTCACCCGAACATCATATGTAGAGACGCTAATAAATTTTTTTAATTTCCAAAAAACGACTCAAAGACATGCCTAAAATGAAAATAGTAATTAGAGATATGAACTGGCACAACTCTAAAATTCCAAAATGACGTCAGTTAAGATGTTACAACAACTGCGTGTAAATACATTCCCAAAAAAAAACCCAGCACTGATCGATATAAGCTGGTAAAATATGTCAAACAGAGGCTGCGTATTTATCATCCCAAATAAATAGCAGTTTTATAATGAAAAGAAAAAATAATAGTAAATTTGGGCTAAGGTTAAAAAATTGGACGTGGATGCGTACTTGTACATCCCTACCAAATGAAAAGAACCCTGGTATTTAAACTAGTAAAATTCAAAAAATTCCAAAAGAATCCTTAAAACTGTAAGAGTCAAGTAAGGAAGCCGGAGTAACTGGAAACAAATGATGTCAGGAAAATGAGTGATGGTAGGGAAAATGAGTGACTCATTCTATGTTTTTTCATTTATGCCCTCTGGGGAAACTGTCCTTTAAGTTAGCTTTCTTATCCAAAACCTTTCCCGGGCAAGTCTTTCGGCCCTTGACCAACCCTCGTTGTGGTCTATGATTGTGATTGTAAGGTTTTTGAGATCAGCGACATCGCTATAGTTTGATAATCAGAATAGATTGATCTGATTCATTTTACAAATATAGTCCCTAGTGTGGACAGTGTGTTACTTGCCATTTTTTTTTATACCCCTTCCAAATTCATTTCTCCATGTTTTATGCCTTAAATAGCAAGTAGGGGGATGAAATTACACTGTAAAAAAATTTGGGTCATGAATTTTAAAGTAAAATAGTAATTTGGTCCAGCTGAAAAAGTTAAAAATAAGCACTTCGGAAGCTGTCAAAAGATTTCAAGACCCCCTTAACATAAAATTGTCCATATTTTGAGTTAGAGTTGATGAAGTTTTCTATAATTTTGATATAATTTGTCCCAAAAGTAGTACAAAACACTGTAAAAATATTATTGAGAAAGCGCAGGTGGGATTTTTTTAATTTTCATTTATTGTCTAAAAGAAATGCACTACGAAATAACTGTGTACTCGGACCATCTGTTATCCGAAATATTTATAGTTACATTTGTTCGTTTAATTTCATTTTTTGGTGATGTTGTACCCTTTTAGACTGGTTATACATTATATTTTGTAGTGTACTGTATCAAATTTATATGATCCATCGCCCCGTAAGATTTATCGTTGGCTATTATTCAGTCATTTTATATATATATATATATATATATATATATCAATATTTTATAGATAGACATTGACACTGAAGATGGCTATTTGTTCAGATGAAATATTTGTCAACACGATTTCAAAACATCGTCTCCGTAAACTACCATGCAAATCCTAAGACTATTATATTTTGTTTTCCTTATCTGCACGCAGTATCGGCTATTCTGAACGATCTGGTACATATTATATATATATAATAATATCCTAGAGTAATAATCTTACATAAACAGTTCCTACAAATATTTGAATCGTTGCCCACCAACAAAATTACATGATACTTTCAAGATATTTGAAGTAATACTTGAGAATGGAAATGATGGTTGAGATTGGAACAAATTCATCGTTCAAATATTTTTGTTTGTTTTTTGTAATTTGTAAATTGTATAACAACCACAAATTAAGTCGACATGGTAAGACATCACACAACTAACGAAATCATTTAATAAAACCGGGCGTAGTAAGGCAATGACACAGCAGAGGTGGGGTTGAAGTTTATATCTCAACAGGTTGAGTTCGAATCCTGCTCTTGTCGACCTAAAGTTTGGAAGAATAAAAATGAAGTTCTATCATTGATTGAACTGAACTCAAGACAAAAAAGTAAATTCAAATTGAAAGCCCTGCATAGCAGTTGGCTTGTCTCCAATGCCTGTCGTCTTTTATTTTTGTGTTGTCAGGTTGATGTCTTATGTGACGTATATCCCGCGCCTCCTTTTATTCTTATGTACAAATAAGATACTAGTAGTTTGTACCTATTTTTCAGATAGCCAAAAGCGATGGATGATCCTACAAAGTGGTCTTGTAATGAAGTCAGTAACTGGTTGAAAAATAATGGGTTTCAAAAATACTGTCAGTTGATCTGTGTTGAACACCAAATTGATGGACAAGGACTTTTAAGTTTAACAGAAAATGATTTAAAACAATCGCCAATAGAAATACGGGTACTAGGTGATGTAAAACGATTGACCCATTTGATTAAATCATTGAAAACAAAGTGCGTCGGAAAAAGCAATGGTACAGTTGTGTACAATGGCGTTATTCCGATGCCACGGCAGACTACTTTACAGATGGTGGAAAGAATCAATGCGCCAATAGATATTTCAGACATTGAATGTAACGAATTCGATCCTACCATAACCCAGCAGTCCAGGAACATAGATCCTGAAAAGCGCAAGGCTGGACTTGCCGTTCTTTACATGATATTTGGATTACTTTGTACCTGTTATTCTATAGTGGTCGTACAGGCCAAAGCACCTGACCAACAGAAACATCCACCTTTACCAGACATATTTTTGAACTACTTTCCTCAAATATCATGGGCACATAAAGTTTCAGAAGGAGCAGTTTTATCTCTTATGGTGACATGGATTATCGTTGCTGTTCTAAATAAGCACAGGTGACCTATCATAACTTTCCTAAACTTCATTTTTTTAATCAACTATGATTTAAATCGCTTATCAGTATATAGAAGTAATATCTTTCGTGGCATAGGTACTAGTTTTATATAAGTCAATTATCATATTCAATCTATAAAAATGTAAATGAGATAAACATTTAAGCTGAATACTAGTATCATATATATGCAGCATAATTCTATCTTCTATCATATTATATTATATGAAAAACGTACTGCCTTTTTTTGACATTTTAAATTTAAATTTTGTCTACTATAGTTGCAATCTGACCTTGCAGTTTTAAAAAAAATGCATCACTGGAGAAACTGAAAATATTTGTTTTTGTTGCAGGTGGATTCTGATGCGTCGCACTTTTTGTTTGTTGGGCACTATGTATTTACTTAGGTGTGTATGTATACTGATCACCCAGCTACCAGTACCAGAAACAAATGTTATATGCGATAGAAAGGTAAAGGCTATACGATAAACAGTGTTTTTTTTAAATGAGAAAAAAATAACACCAATTCGATAACAGAATAATATAAGAATATATATTGGTTAATTAAAACTCCAATGGAAGTTGCATTGTTCGTCTGGAGTATAAGCACAGCATTACTTAACTTTATGCAAGTATTGAAACAATTATCAACTTTATTTCTAGTTAAAACGTAGGAAAAATACTACGAGCCATTATATTATGTTTGATAAAAGCAGAAAATGTCCGTGTAGATTATAAAACCCGGAAAAAAAAATCAGTTACGTTGTATTTTAAAATTTAATAGCCGATGCACGGTAGGTATAGTGTCCGGCTGAGATCGTGTTTTTTCGAGTGTAGGTCAGGTTTGTTTCGAGTGATATTACATGCGATCAGATCGATTTACTGCTATTTCGCGAATACAATAGTTGTGACTGTTCATCTTATCTTGAATGCTATATATGTTTTGAGCACGAACGACGTACAATTTTCGTGTAGTTCACTCACAATTCACTGTTTTATATTGTCCGTGTTTTTTCGAGAGCAACATCTAAAACGTCCGGGTTTTTCAACAAATGGTCCGGGTTTTTTTAATAAATGTGAATAAGAAAGAAGACAATTTTGGGCTTAAGAACTGACTATTTCTAATTTGTGACTGTTATTTAGCGAATGACAATATTATTTATTCTTAATAAGTCACAAAAACATATTACTATGTTGATCAAATGTAACCCTTTTCAATTTAATGATAACTTTCTGTTCTGAAAACATAATTTACCATACAACCTTGCAGTATTAGGATATATAAGAAATCATTGGGTCTTTACAACCGAAGATTTCATTTCAAGCTGCCTTTGTTTTTACCGTCAATACTATTTTATGATTGATATATATATATAACAGTAACGAAAAAAACATAGGAGCAAGAAAACTAAGGAAAAGCAGTAAAAAATCAGAAAAATTCAATATAAACCCAAATATTCTAATAAAAGAGCCCACTCCTCAAAAAAATATATATATATATATATATATATAGATTCTACCACTGCATCGAGTGTGATACGATATTTATCCACTCGAGACAGTTAAATTTTCAAATTTAAAACGCGAGGCTCGCCGAGCGTTTTAAATATTTAAAATTTAACTGTCGAGAGTGGATAAATATCGTATTACACGAGATTTGGTGGTGGAGTCTGTTTCTCTAATGATTTTCAAACAATATGCAGGCACACTTTTTCCGTTTTTTCGAATGATCTGTAAAAAGATGTGTTCTTTCTATGTGACGTCATCAGGCATGGTCGCCTTTTTTCATGCCGTCACAATAGGAAATTCAGAGGAAAGCAAGTAAATTCGACGTCATAATCGGATTTTAACCAATGAAGAACTGAGATCAAACGAACCACACGTTGATTAAATTTTGTTTATACAATGGGTGCAGAAAGGGATAAATTGACGAATAATTAGAGAAATATATATATAACAATAACATTTGAATTGAATGGAATATCTTATAAAAAATTAAAACAACACTTACGCTCAAAGTCGAATATTTTAAAGCCAAGAATATATAAGAACCGAAACATTTGAAGAGCTATATGACCAAGGACCTAAAAAATAGCCAAATCCAACCAAGGTCAACTTTGCCTGATGGAGTTGAAACCTTAGTTTTTAATAATTTTTATATTTATAAACGGACAATTTTAAATGATTGATTGTTGGTTGCTTAACGTCCAGTAACAAATATGTCATGTATGTTCAAGACGAGATCCCATTAACAATAAAGCCAATATCTAGGTCCTGTAACAGAGGACGTTCGGGATGAAGTTGGGAAATTTAGGCTGCCACTGAAAATTAGGGTACTAGTATATTGGATATGGACAGACATTTTTGCCTTACAATAGGTCACCTACAGACCCCTCAAAGAGCTGTTGCAAGGCTTCTTGACGTTCCCCTTTGAGGTAAACAATTTTAGAAAGGTTTGTGATAAATCATGTCAGTACCGAAGTACTGACTACTGAGCTGATGATAAACTCGAGGACTTATTTATATATCCAATATATTTAATAAACAACGAAATGAATAATCTGTAAGCTTTAATACGATCCTTTTGAAATCATAAAAAAAAAACGAAATGTGCAAACAACATGCGTAAACCTCACAAATATAATTCTTTTAATTTCTTGTGGAAATGAAGCTATGATAGTGCTTTATTTCTATGTAACCAAGTATGGCATATGCTTGATCAGACTCCTCTTCAAAGCTGGAGCATTTGAACATTGTTCTTGATTTCCATTGAAATCCATATCGGTACACTTATACATGAATATAATATTAATTGAATACAAATGAACGATGCCTTTTCATGAAATGTACGTGTTAATACAGCATTATCAAACTGGGTTATTGCATTGTTTCGTGCATTGAAAAGTACTTTAATAGAACCTTTTCATTGTTTTTTAAACGCAAATGCACTGACATATTACATTTTAAGCCATAGGAATATTGTTTTCTCACTCGATAAAACAAGGACGCACTCAAAAGAACACGGAATGTCTCGAAAAAACACGGACATATAAAAATGAATTTACTCTCCAAAATGTACTTTACAATGCAAAAACAAGAATTTTTGTATAATGTCTGCATATCTAAGTATTTATAGATTCCAAGTAAGTATTTCCGTTGACATTTGCATTGGTATGTGTATAAAAATGGCTTTAATCTATATTTTGGAATAAAGCATTGTAAGGCTAAATTAAACGCTTTAAAACAAAATAATGTAGGGTTGATAATAAATTTTTATCACAAATACAAATTTACCTTCTATGATATTAAATATAAGGTTCTGGCATCTTTTTTATACGTCTCACCAGAAAAGAAGTCTGTTTGTTTACATTTTTTATCATATTCACTCGAAAAAACGTAGTCACACTCGAAAAATCCCTATAAAATCACTCGAAAAAACACAATTCCAGCCGGACACTATACCAACCGTGGATGGTATGATAATTCAACATATGTGATACATAAATAGTAGACACCAACGTAAGCTTTGGATGATATTTAATTTCAGAATTATACTGATTTTTTGTCTCGAGCAGGAAGAACCTTAGAGATATTTTTTGGTGCTGGTTTGAAAGTATCTGGTCTAAAAACATGTGGAGATTACATGTTTAGTGGTCATACCGTCTCAATGACGATGTTCAATTTCTTTATAACAGAATGTGAGTAAGAGTATTATCATAGCATAAGTGTGTTAAAAAAATGAACACAAACAATATAAACACACAGTTAATTCACGATAGGCATAATAACCCGTTCACACGACACAACTAAATCGAATTACTGTGTGATTTCGGAAATCCGCTTTGACAACAATACCGGCTTGCGATCAGACACATAATCTGGATTAAATGTGTATTGTGAATCCGGAGATTATTTACGAATTATATGCTTCTTTTTGTAATTTTATTTGGGTATTAAAATGTTGACCGAATCATATTTTGTATGAAGCGCGAAAGTTGCGCGAAAGTTGCGCGCAACTGAGATTTTACAACTGCAAATAATCACAAAAGAATCTTTCAACTCTTATTCTTATATTTTAATTTTACAACCATGATATTTCAAGTTAAATCAAGCATTTTGTGTGTTTGTCTTTGCATTATTTCAACACGGCCACAGAGAGTACATTGTAAGTGCTGTCATAGATCGGAAATAAAATATAACTTTTGGAATTCCTCGTCAAATCAAAATTACGGAATCATATGAAACGCTTATGTAATGTTTTATTCTTTTATAACAATAACACACATCACAGAACAACGTGTGAACAGCTTTAACATATATTAATATACATGCAACAAATACCAATCATTCAACTTCAAATAGTATTATTTAAACATATAATTACAAGGTTTTGTACCTAATCCTAAAAATTTAATACAGGGCGAATCGATCAGAATAAATATCTGAAGACAAACTAGTCCGTTGACCTATATTTTATTCTGAGTAATGGCATGTCCATCATTTTCGGCAGGGTATATATCAAAATTCTACACATTGGTAACGTTTTTCTCGAAGTATGGCGTCCAAGAAGATTTGTCACAATGACTGAACAATATATACTGTATTCTTTCTTATATTAAGGTCTGCTTCTCAAATATTTGTTTTACTTTATGCTAATTAAAATCTTAAAAAATCTACGCGACGCCTCTTTTACATCCTGCTTCTAATTATTCAGTTTTAGCATAAAACTTGAAATAAAAGCTATTGCTAATGACATAAAAGTTTTTTATTTATTATTGAGATCATTTCCCCCTCAAAATCGTCCTTTTTTACATGAATGATTATGTATTCATATATTTTATTTCAATAGTTTCAATCGGACCAAAATGAGAAACAATTAACATCTAGTGAATAAATCTCAACATGGGATAAAACTGGGGAATATATACAGAATACAGAATGGCAAAATTCGTATCGCATGCTGTATCACCACGAGAAACCAATATCAGTCCAGAGGGCCGTTAGTCCCGAGGGCTTGATATTGGTCGAGTGGTGATACAGCATGCGATACGGATTTTGCCATGTATTATTCTACATATACAATATGCAGTTTTAAAAAGAACTTTCTAGAATTAGTTGTTTGATTCTTATGAAATAGACATATATAAATTGTGATAAAAAAGACAGTATAATATTTAAAATATTCAAATTGCAAAAATTGTGAATCATTCTCTTTCCAGATACACCGAAGAAGATGTGTTATGTACATATACTTTCATGGATTATAAATTTGGTCGGAATGTTTTTCATATTAGTAGGCCATGGCCATTATTCCATTGATGTGTTTGTAGCTTTTGTGTTTACTTCACGTTTGTTTTGTTATTATCACACACTTGCAAACAATATCAATCTAATGTCAAGAGATTCCAAGAAAACCAAGATATGGTTTCCAGTATTTTCATATTTTGAGTCAAAATCAACGGGAGTTATTCCATTAGAGTTTGAGTGGCCATTTACCTCTTGGACAAAACTAAAGAATTATCTCAGGGGATACGAAATAGTCTCCTCAAAGGATAAAAGTTAGCACTTAAAATTTGTGTTATCGTTACCATACACATGTATATATATAATCGTTGATTGCCTTATTAGACTGACAGATTACTGTTGAAGTCGCAGGATATAGAGAGTGCTGTGATCTACGCATTACCTTATGGGATTGACACACTATTGTGATAGGTTAACAGATTACCTCAGGATTCGCTGTGGTCTACGTATTACCTCATTAGAGTGACAAACTGCTGTTATAGGTTAACAGATTACCACCGGATTCTGACAGGCAGCCGCGATAGGTTCACGGGGCTTTTGTTTGCAGTGTTTGATTGGATCAACCAGGAGAACAGCAGATATAAATATGGATGTAAATCGAAAACATTTGAATTACAATCGGTTATAAAAACATTTATAAGTATATGGAATAGAATCTGGATTTATTTTTCTGTTATTCTAACAAAAGAATGTCCAGTTACAAAAATGATCAAATATTAAGTTAGTCCAACTCCGAACAATAGATTACCTAAATGATGGGTGATAAATGGATAATTACATTAAGGGTTATTCGACTATGGGTTGGTTCAGTCGTACGGACCTACTGTTCTGCACGTTTAAACTCCATTCCACAATAAAGACGGTCAAAATATTACAAATAAGTATAAATATTAATGAATTAAAATTTGTATGTTGTGGTAAAGTATAAACGACGATTTCAAAAATATATTGACGTTGGAATCCATGTAAATGGTATATATAGAATGTTGTTATGTTGTGAAGTTAGCTGTTGTGTTGATTCCCGGCAGACTCTCAACAGACGAACTACATCTGTGAGAGCTGGTTCTGGGACTTTACATACTGGGGGAAACTAGCTGTTGCCAATGCCTTGGATGGAGTATGGCATTGCTGCCGATGTAAAGGCAGGCCGGACGTTGTTGCCGATGTAGAGGCAGGCCGGGATCGACTGACACCTATAAGTTTCAAAATTCAAACTTTTTAATAAAATAAATAAAAACAAAAATAATACAAAACATTTACAAACAACAATTAAGTGAAACAAATATTTTCTTTTATTTTTTTCTTAAAAGAAAACAATAGATATATTGATAAAACTTCATTTATGAAAACTTTTAATTATCTTTATTTTAGTTTAACTTGATTAGAAATATTTTACTTTAAATCTTAATAATTTAAATCATGACTTACCTATAAGTTTCAAAATTCAAACTTTGACGTCTCAAAGGAGAATTTCTACTTATATAGCAATCATTTAATTGACGTGGCTTTCTTTGTTACGATTTAATTAGAAATAACCAAATATAGTTATTGTTCGAAATAAGGTCAAAATGTTGTATAAGTAAATGTTCCATGAATGAATGATTTTATTCTCATATACTAGTACATAGCTACAGAGAAAATAACAGTCCATATATAATACATATTTTGTTTCGCATGTGTGAAAATGAATAACAATATAATAATATTACAGTTCCTCTAACCAGGAGGACAGACTTTCACTGATATGTATCGTATAAATCTACACAATTTTTCTAGTTCAACAACATTTTCAGATGAGAATATATGATTAAATTTAATAATGTTAGCATTTTTGATACAATAATGTGGTAAATATTTTTCTCTTTCTATGTTGAAAAAAAAAATATATAATAGAGAGGTCAGTTTGACATTGGTGATTATAAATAATCTTTAAATGACCGGAGAACAGTTTGCATTATCCCACGGTATATAATAGTGATTAACAAAATCATTACCTTTCTTATTTAAATAAAATTTAATTAATAATTGTAACGTCAGCTATGTCCAAAATTTATGTCAAATATCTGTCACAATACATATCCTTCATGAAATAAAACATGAAAACCAGTGGCGGATTCAGGGGGGTAGGGGTGTAGGGAGGTTGTATGGTCACATCCCTTTTTGATTAGAAAATATATAATTTTGTAGCATAAAATCGCCCAAAAATGACAATATACGTTAATTTTTCTTAAATGACTCCCCCCCCCCCCCCTTGCAACCTCTAAAAAACTTGGAACGGCCTCTGACGAGATTACATATCGTTGCAACATGTTGTTCTTCATTCATTATTTTTGATTCATTAACTTGTGGCATCAACATGTATAAAAATCTATTATTTGAATCCTTTCATTCATTTCATATAAATCGTAATTTTTTTATGCCCCACTCAGGGGCATTATGTTTTTCGGTCTGTGCATCCGTTCGTTCGTCCGTTCGTCCGTTCGTTCGTTCGTCTGTCTATGTCGCTTCAGGTAAAGTTTTTTGTCAAGGTAGGTTTTGATGAAGTTGAAGTCCAATCAACTTGAAACTTAGTACACATGTTCCCTATGATATGATCTTTCTAATTGTAATGCCAAATTAGAGTTTTGACACCAATGATAGTGCGAGTGGGGCATCCGTGTACTATGGACACATTCTTGTTTTAGTGATAAACTGAGACTTTGCAATTATTGTGCATATATACATTGTTATAAATGAAATGTGCATTTGCGTTCTCATGTGTTCCGTTAGTTCTACCTTTTTGTTTTATATCACGAAACATACGTTTATTCATGTTATTGTTAGTCATTCATGAAGTGATTATTTTAAATAATTATTTATATTTTGAAACATGGTTACTACTGTTTGAATTATTATAAATCTATAATACCCGTCATTACTCAAGTATTAAAATGGGGTATAATTGCCAATAAAACAAGTATACAAAAGTCCATGCAAGAAACGTCCAAAAGCAGATATCTATCACTTTTTCTTTGTTGGTTCGTCCACATGCGTTTAGGGAATTTCATTTTTTAAAGATTCATTTAAAGTAAAATTTCCTGAATTCTGTTAGTTCTTTAACAGTAATGGGGTGAAGCTCATTTAATACTGCTATTAATAGGGTGACGCTCATTTGATACTGCTATTAATGGAGTGGCGCTCATTTAATACTGCTATTAATGGGGCGGCGCTCATTTGATACTGCTATTAATGGGGCGGCGCTCATTTGATACTGCTATTAATGGGGCGGCGCTTATTTAATACTGCTATTAATGGGGTGACGCTCATTTAATACTGCTATGATTAATTCGTTAAGATAATAGCAAGAATACATTTTAAAGAGGGGAAATGAGTTGCAAAAGAAATAAAGAATTTTTTTTTATATAATTTTGTTTAAAAGGGGGCCATTTCCCAAGCACCTGTGGTTTCATTGGTAATCATACCGCATCTCAATATCTAGTAAGGACGAAAATAAAAATAGGTTTGACATGACTTTGCATTAAAACTGACCAGCACAGGAACTGCTTATCGTTCCGGAGCACATGAGGTCACCATCTGTTTTTGGCGGGGTTCGTGTTACTGTGTCTTTATTTTTCTATGTAATGTTTGTCATTTTTATTATTTCCAATGATATTGTCTGTTCTGATTTATTTTCGAATGCCTCCATGGTATCTTCTCTCTTCATTTTTTAATTTGACTTCTTAGTAAAATTTAACCAAGATGAAACTAGATAAGTAAATGCAAGTACAGAAGACATGTAAAACACACACACAGAATTGCTCTGCAGCATAAGCAATGCAAATATACAATTGCCATCTCGGGTCACTACTAATAATGAATTGCGAAAACAGAAATATCTGTAATTTTTATGAACTGTAGTAATTTATGCTATAGTTATTGACCAAGCAAGTCGGTATATGTTATTTAATCTGCACGGCTCGCCATTAATTTAAATGTCATTGAACGTTTTAGAAATATCGGACGATATTCAATCCACGGCTCCTGGGAAAGTTTTCTTGTAGGGCAAAGAAGGGGGAAAAAATACGCATTTAAGGGGGCTACCATTTGATTTTTATGGGGGGGGGGGGGGGCTAGGATGAAAAATTTTGTCCTGCATTTTTTTAGTTGTAATCTCTGTCCTGCTTTTTTATTTTTCACTCTATTCGGTCCTGCCTTTTTTTTACTAGTATTAGTTTATCCTGACTTTTTTAACATAAATTGTCATCCTGCCTTTTTTTTTGCCAAGTTGCTCATCCTGCCTTTTTTTATTTAACTCAAAATACCTGTCCTAGCCTCCTCCCCCCCCCCCTAAAAATCAAATGGTAGCTCCCTAAGTAGCAAAAGCTTGGTAATTTTTAAATTATAATCTTTTTATATTCAGGCTTTCTCCTAAATTGTAACAGTATTTGGAGAATTGTTTTAATAGCAGATCTTTTATTGTTTCTGTTAAATTTATTCACATTTTTTATATAAACTCATGACGATCAAATCAAATAAGTTTTCTTTCAAGACGGCAAGATAAATAACAATACATACAACATGAGCTCTGAGTGAGCTTTTGAACCGACATGAACGATTTAGAACTTGACACCTGTCTATTGTCACTCTTGATTTGTTTAGGTGGTTTTTCTCGTCTGATTGTTGTCTTATTGGCGTATAACTCACATATCCTACAGTTTTAGTTCCGTTTGATGTACTTTTAAAGCGGTGTATGACATCTTTCCCAAGAATATGTTAAGAGAAAGATTAATCAAAGAAAATTGTACTTAAATTTATAGTGCAAAGTAAACAAAACAAAAAAAGTTTCACTTTTCAATCTTTAACTCCCCTTCCCCCAAAAATTTTTCATCTTTATTCATTCTGAAGACATGTCCCAACTAAACGAAGTTTACTTACAAGTAAACAAAATCTGTTTTGGCACATACTTGAATATAAACCTCATTAAATGTCAATCAAAAGGAATTAATATTTGAAAAGTTGTAATAAATTCCATTGAGAACAAAACTAATCCAAATCAGGTTTCAGCTATTTGGATATCTGAGGAAATTACAAAAACAAAATTATCTTGCTTGACTTGTTGAAACACTGATTAAAGATTTAAATTGTATACATAATATCATAAAAGTGTTCTAAGGAATGAGAAGCATTTTCTATTTCTTAATTTGAACCGACAAAGTGTACACAAAGATGTTAACTGATCAATTATGCCGTAATTGCCAGGTCAGAGGTGGATTCAAAGGGGGACGAAGAGGGTGTACTGCTACCCCCCTTTGATTGCAAAATTTTTATGGAATTACGCCCCTATGCCTTTGAATAATCCTGGATCCGACCCTAAAGACAAAAGTACATTTGAAATGTGCAGTATATCTGAGGCAGTCATTTGACTAGTACGTGCTTAAAAGATAAATAAAGCATAACAATGACCCAAAATATATTTCAACATCCGACATAAGGTGTCTTTGGTGTTTTTCAATTCACTGGCTAAAACTTATATTTTGAGCGAGGATTGTACTTGCTTACTTATCCTCTTCATCCCCAGTGGGACATAAGGCCTCCACTTCTCTCTGTCCTTAGCCATGTACTGGGCTTGGCCCAAGGTGTAACTTATTGCTTCCAATTCTGTTGTTACAGTTCTTCGCCAGCTGATTCTTGGTCTCCTTGGTTTCCTTTTCCCTGATGGTGTCCAATATAGCTGTTTTAGGTGCGCGGTGTTGTTGCATTCTCAGCACATGGCCTAACCATCTAAATCTTCGTTGTTGGATTTCTGCTGTTATGCTCTTAGCATTACATTTCTCCAAAAGGCTCTTGTTGCTGATTTTATTTGGCCAAAATATTCTGTTGATCTTTCTTATGCAGCTAGTATGGAATGCATCTACTTTTTGAAGGTCACTTACCAAACACGCCAACGGTTTCTGAACCATACAGTAGGACAGATTTTACATTGCTGTTGTAGATTCGCAGTTTGGTCCTTAAATTGTACTGGTTGGACTTCCAGATTGTATGAAGTCTTGCAAATGTTGCACGTGCCTTAGATAGTCTTGTCTTTATATCCTTTCCTGTCCCATTATCTTTACGTATGATGCTTATAAGGTAAGTGAGGTCTTCAACACTGTCTACTGGCAGATCATTGAGTGTAATTTGTGTTGTATTCCTCGTGTTTATTGACATTGCCTTGGTCTTCTTGGCATTTACACTCAGACCAGTTTGCTTTTCATAGTTGATCAGTATGTTGGTCTTCTCTTGGAAGTGTTCGCTTGTTGTTGATAGTATG